CAAGACTTATATTAGTTGTATATTATTCTGTTTTATCACTTTCTGTGTAATAGAATAATAGAGTGATCAATGTATCATAGTATGTAATATGATTGTATGTTATTTTGTTTTATCACTTTGTTTGACAATATGATATTATTCTGTTTTCTGAAACAATGCGTGTGTTTTAGACTCACTAACTCACTTTGTGTTAGATAGATTTCTAACTCCACAACAACCCCGTCTACGAGATCAACTGCAGCTCAAGAGAATCTTAAACGCAAATCAATGATCCTGGATGGGAATATGCATTGTGTGTGAATCCTAAGAAACTGGAGCGAGTGAAATGCGTTTTATGTAATAAAGAGATGGACGGGGGAATCAATAGACTAAAACAACATATTGAACAAATTAAGGGAAATGTTTCTTCATGCCCAAAGGCCACAAAAAATGACCAAATAAAATGTAGAGAGATGCTCTTCTTGATAACCGAAATAAAAGAGGGGAAGGTAGATGAAAATTAGTCTTTAAGAGCACAAGTGAATATTAGAAGTAGTGAGAATGAAACCATTACCATCGATGATGATTTGATGGAAGATTCATTTGGCTCTATGAAGGCTAAACGTTCTTTTGGGCCTATGGATCGGTTTCCAAACACTATCAACCCCCAATATGTTTCAAACATGGGAAAGAGCAAACAAGAAAATATGTCAAATGCTATTCGTAAGGAACACATGATTCGTGTGAAAGAATATATTTGTAGATGGGCCTATGAATGTGCCATTCCTTTTCATGCCTTTGAAAAGGATAGCTTCAAAATTATGTTGGAGGCGGTTGGCATCAACGAACAAATCGGAGCTACATCAACGAACAAATCGAAGCTACATTGGAAGAATTTGTGTCGGGGGATGAGGAAGAATTAAATGAAGATGTTGAATATGAATCGGATGGAGTTAACATCAACGAACAAATCGGAGCTACATTGGAAGAGGAAGATTAAATGATTAATCTAAATATATAATATTAAAGAATGGTGTCTATTTTTGAAACAATTTAACATTTAAAAATGTATCTTTTGTTGATATTTCACCTAATTTTGTAATGAATTTACATTAACTAATATTTTAAATTATGATCTTTGACATGTATAATTTCCTTTAAAATATTTTTCTACATGATTTACCGTATCCAAGTACTCCCCGAGTAATCCGAGTACTCGCTACTCCCCCCTCGGCCGAGTAGGTACCGAGTAGCGAGTTCTCCAACCTTGGTCCTAGCAGACATCCTAAAACTCTCGTCTACCGCATCAGGCGTAATGTCATATGCTAACTGACGAAGTGCAACCGTGCATTTTTGTAAGGGAGTGAAACTGGGTGTACCTCTAGCATCGTAGCGTTGTTGAAAAAAACTGAAATCCCTCGTTACATCTTCAACTATACGTTCGTATAAACGTTTGAACATTCTGAAGCGCCTACGAAAATAGTACCTTGATAAGTGGCATTCTCTTGAAAATAGTCTTGTACCAAACGTTGGTTGGCTTCTTCACGATTTCTAAAAAATATATCTTCGTGTTCTCCGTTGAGAACTTTCAGGTGCGTTATTGCATAAAACATCATATGTTTGTTCCGCCATTTGAGCACACGCAACAGCGGCATCAAAAATAACTTGAAATTCTTCAGAAGATGAAGAAGATGACATTTTTGAGAGAGATTGACGAATTTTTTTAATAAATTAGAGAGAGAAGGGTGTTTTTTGTTTGAAAAAAAAATGAAGTGTATGTAGTATTTTATAGGAAAGAAAGAAAAAAGTACAGAAAAAAAAATTAAACGGTCAAATTTTTGACCGTTCAAAGATTCCCTCCTCAACCAATCAAATTGCACGGCGAGAAATGGCCACACTGTGGCTTAAACCGCAGGAGACCGCGGTCAGCGGGCGGTGTGCGCGGCTGAGGTGGCAAAACCGCGGCCACTCCCTGCAGCCTAAGTAGGTATCAAAGCAAGGAATGTTTCCGACACCCTTGGTATAAATAGGAAAGTGATTATCTTATTGGTCGGAAATGAAAATAAAGAATTCAAGTATGAATGACAATAAGGGAGTGATGAGATAAACTTATGGATTGGATCATTGGAAATTAGAATGCCTCATAGCCAGATGAGAATTGAACTAGTTTAAGAAAATTGGATAAATGGACAAAAATTGAAGATTTTTTAAAGAAAATTAAAATTCCATTAAACCAAATTAAAAGTAAACTACGAAAAATGAAAATAAAAATTACATTAAAAAACTTTAAAAACATAAAATTAAAAATAACGTTATGCTTAAATTAAAAATTACATTAAAACCTACAAACTATAAATCATTGTACTTGTCTTTCATCTTGCGTTGGAGCATGCTGAAAAGTTCGAGAGTTGATCGAGGGGAAGATCCGGATGAAGCGGTGTTTTTCTCATTTTCAAATCGTTGATTGACTAACCCAAATACGATCGGTTGACCCGACTAATACCTCAACATATAAAAAAGATTTTCTTCGAGTGTCCGAGTAGGTTTCAATTGTAAGGTGTTCAAAATATTCAGAATCGCAAAACTGAAGCTAATATATATCCCAAATTCAGTGGTTTGTAGGAATTGTTGGCTTAAGGGGGAGAGACGTAACAACAATGAAGATTAATGTACATGATTTGCGGGTGAAGACGATTTAGATATGGTCAAGATGTACTTATCCTTTAGCCAGACATTTGGTATAAAAATATATTATATGTTTTTTTGCATTATTACACTTTATTAGCAAACTAACAGATACTACCATTAACGTATTTGATGATATGAACAGTTGGTATAAAACACTCTAAAATAAAATTAATCTAGACTCGATTCTCATTTGATTCAATTTTAAAATGTTATCATATTTTTTTAAAATTGTTGTATAAAATTCATCAGTAACGACACCTATCGAGATTTCATCAATATTTAATATTGATATCAAGTTACAACTATAGAGGGAGTCTTCTATAGTAATGAGATTTGATAAAAATAATAAATCATTGGTATATATCTAAAAAATTAAGTTAATAAATATGATATGAAACACATAAATGAAAAGTATAAATGAATGAGGCATAAATATAAGCATTGTATAATAATAATATAATAAAAAGATATTTTACGGCTGCTAAAAGGTTTATATCTATATTTTTGTAACAAAAGTGATCAAGTTTTCGGTTAGAGAGTCGGAAGCATCTAGATGCCACGGCCTTATTCTATCCGCACCCTAGCTATAAATACTCGAGTGAATCATTTGCAGTTTCCATATCTAATCGCCAAGTGCAGATCAACGATTCCTTGTAAAGGATTATCGTTACAGTTAGGAACCGCGAAAATCAATCAAAATGAGGTATGAATTCTGTCCGCTTTCTGTTTTCCTTTTTAAATTACTATAAACTGCTAAATGATGCACTCGATTTGATGAATAAATTTCGTTAGAATTGATTTCTTCTCTCCGCATTAAGTGAAACGAAACTGTAGAATTACTCTGAATTTGATGATTCGATTCATCAAGCGATCGCACATTAGTGTAAATTGAGCAGGTTGTTATGGATTGACGATTTTTCGGTGATTTTTTTTTTCAAATTTAGTTTGGTTCAGCAATCTACGTAGATCCGTCGATAAATTGATGTGTGTATGTTACGGTTTTTCATGATATTATTCGTAACTAACGGACTGGAGGAATTCGACCAGTCATGATCATACATGCACGCTTGTTTATAGTAACGGATTTTTTTAATTCTGTTATTAAAGATATAGTAGCAGTTTATAATTCTGGTGTGATTTTAAAGTTCTATTGTTAACTTCGTATGTGTTATTCTGTTCCAATCGCTAAGCCACTCATGTTTGCTTCCGATTACGATTTTCGTAGCTCTATTGATAATTTTGGAGAAGTAATAATATATGTCTCCAATTTTAGGGTCTTAGTACCATTACAACTTGTGTTCTTTTGTTCTGATCGGATCTGCAGTGTTCATAGTTGTAATCCATGCAAGCTCGTTTACAAAAAAAAAAAAAAAAATGGTAATTTGTAAGTTATTAGCCTTTATAATCTGGTTCTGTTTCTATGTGTTTATTAGCCGACATCCTACCTTGAAGTGGGCCCAGAGGGCTGATGTGCTTTTCATCACCATTGACCTGCCTGATGCCAAAAATGTGAAGCTTAAGTTGGAGCCTGAGGGTAAATTCTACTTCTCTGCAACTGCTGGAGCTGAGAATTTACCTTATGAAATTGACATCAACCTTCATGACAAGGTGGACGTGGATGTAAGTGAATAAGTGTTTTACTTTTACAAATTACATGTTTTATCTGTTTAAACCAAAAGCAAAATGATAATTAATCGAATAAAATTACAGAAAAGCAAGGCAAGCGTTGGACCAAGAACTATTGTTTACCTTATAAAGAAGGAAGAAAGCAAATGGTGGAACAGGCTTTTGAAGGAAGAGGGAAAAACTCCAATGTTTGTGAAATGTGATTGGGACAAATGGCTAGATGAAGATGAACAGGAGGATAAGGGTTAGTCATAACTTTCTATTTTGTGTTATTTTTCATTTCTCTAACTAAATTCCAAATATTCTAATGTTGTCTTTGATTATATATACAGTTGGAGGTGATATGGACTTTGGTGACATTGATTTCTCCGTAAGTATACCAAAAACAACTGATTCATTTCAATTTCTTTCAAGAGTCTTAACATTTTGATGATTATATCATTTGTGATGCAGAAACTTAACATGGGAGGTGGTGGAGAGTTTGATGAAGATGATAGTGACACAGAAGAAGAAATCAACAAGGAAGAAGAAGAAGAAGCAATTGAGAAGAAGATGGAAACTGCAACTGCACTACCTGTTAGCAATGGAGTTGAGGCAACAGCTTGAGCTATTATCATAGGATTTGGTTAGCATTTTAATCCAACTGTTTTGGTTTAAATTTGATGCATTACTTCTAGTAGTGTTATTCACTCACTCTATCTAGCAAATTACCTTGAAACATAAATGAAGATTGTACAATCTTTTACTACTTGCAATGATGAAAAAAAAATCCAAACAAAATGTTTAAATGAAGAACAACCAGAGAAAGTAACAATTTAAACATCTCAAACAGAATCTACATTAACTTTTCATGGCTTTATATTCTCTGGTAGTGCCATGGATGGTAGGTCAGGAGAAGGGCGCAAAGTGCATACCATCTCCTTTGTTTTCCCAAAATACACCTGAAATTGTCATCATGATTAGTATCATGAACCATGGTTGGGTTTAATTGATGGGCAAAATTGGAATTTTACCTGGTCAAGTTGATTCCTGAGCTTTCCTTCCAACTCTTCTATCATCTTACCCATATTGCATAGATGACCATCTTCAACAGGAAGGTCTGCTTTCATCTATTCAACAAAAGATTAAAAGAAATAAGAACATACTTCACGCATTTTACCAATATAGACAATTTACTTTATTTTTTAACCTATAATAACAATATTACCTGTCTCCTTATTGATCCTGACAAATTGAATGTTCCAGATTCATCACTATTTGTAGTGAGTGAGAGCATTATGGTACTTGTTAAACAGTAGTTAGCATTTCCTTCCTGTTCTGGGCCCACCTGGATAACATGTATAGCTTCCCAACCACCTTCGTTCAGATACCCTCTTTTACCATGTGCATCTTTTGATCCATCTGAGTAGGTAGTAACAAATTTTGCATAATAGTTCATGTGAGATGAAAGATGGAGTAATTAATTTGAACAAAATTTGGAACCTTTTTTAATTAAAAAGCATGCGACAAAGCCTTGTTTGTCATCTTCTTCCCCACAAATAGACTGATGAAATACCACCTTCGTAATACCTGACAATAGATTAGACACAAATATGTAAAGTTGGGTAAAAGGAATAAACAATGATTTAAGGGATTAGATTTTTAAAAAGGTGAGGTGAGTAGTGAGTAGTGAGTAGTGAGTAGAGTAAAGGACCTCACTGGTCACGATATATAGTAAAAATGTCATTTGCTTCGATTTCAAGTTTCCTCAATTCAGCAGATGGAAGCATCCCGTCTTCCAATGAAGGATGGTATTTGTTTGACCAAGGTGACCTGCATAGTTAATAAGATGTGAGATTCAAAACTCAAAAGGGAGTAGCAAACAAAATATGATGATTGATGAGGAATAGGATACCTGTAAGAATCAGCATCTCTGTTGTACTCGCATAAGATGAACTCTTTCTCATTTTCCCCATCACGTAGGACCTGTTTTGCATAGTAACAAGACCGATTGAGATTGATTGACTACATACATCCATCATCCATGAACATTCTTATATTAGTTTAATTATTATGTTAAAAATGAGATTGGGTGCACATCGGCAAGTGTTCTATTTAGTCTCTGTAATTGCACTGTTTATTATCCTCTCTATAAAGAAGTCAACGCGAACAACTCGGGCGGGGCGCCACCAACTCTAATCTAACCCACCCAAAATGCTATAACTTAAAAGAATGAAAAAACACAGAATAGCAGATTTACGCATGCAAATCCACCGGAGATCGGGACAGATCATCAATGGAATGAACACAGAAAGTTAGGGTTTAAATGAATTTGTCAACAAACCAAACCTTAAGAGGCTGATCAACTTGAGAGAGTAGATCGGAGGAGTGGCCGGGCAAGAGGCTGAGGAGGGCGGTGAGAGCCGTCTCTGTGTGTTTTGGAGGCATCCTTCTCATCAATCCCATTGCTGCTTCCATTAGAACCGAGGACAACTCAACTCAACAAAATTAATCGTTTTGATCTAAAACTCAAACTTTCCCTCTCAGGACAGGGTAGGATCAGGACAAAGAATAAAAATAGGTTGGTGTGTATAATCTGGCTATCATTTGAATTTTTAATTGGGTACTTATTTGTAAATTATCAAATGGTCCCTGGCTACTCCTCCTTCACTTTTTACTCCTTTAATATATATATAGATATATATATATATATATATATATATATATATATATATATATATATATATATATATATATATATTTTTTTCTTTTTCGAAAATAAAATATTTTTATTACAAATTTGGTTATATAATATATAACTCCGCATATATTTATCATTTTTGTTATAAGATTCAATAAAAAGCATCTAATCTAAGTTTGAATACATTATTAAAAATTACAGAAATAATTGTTGAGACTTGATACATTTTTTTTTTTTTTTTTAAATAGATTTTTCAAATGTTTTCATCGTGAATTTGTAATGGCCGAAAAAACACACAATGATAGGATTGTAGTCTCTAGATTAGCTATATTCAATATACAATATGGTTTCTATGCGAAGAAAACTTGTTTTTAACAATTCTTTTTTCCATCATATAGTAGTGTCCTTTTGGTATTCTATGAAAAGTATAGTGTCCAGTTTATAAGAAAATTTATGAAGTTGTTGAATGCTAGTGTTTGTTACTTCTTCTATATGTATCATGTGTCATAGAGAATTTAGTGTATGGTGTTTGGTGATGATTGGAAACCAAACCCACTACATGATGATGTTGATTGCTTGCTTGCTTTCAAAGAGATCCAACCTTCAATCTAATTTTTATTTTGTTCATACTATTTTCAACTAATACAGTTGCATAAAATATAATTGACTTTACATAGGGTTTTTTTTTAATTATTATTATATACTTGCAAAATATACTTTAAAACTCTTCTCTCGTATGTTCATGTTTCCCCATTAAATTAAAATAGTTGAACAGAGTATAAAATTGTGCATTCCCGTCGACTTGAAGTCTATATATAATAGTTCTAATTTTGTGTATTTAGTAAATTATAAACTCTATTCGGATCATTTTACTAGTGTTAACTTTTTTCTTCTGACAAATTATTAAAGTTCTATTACATTAATCATGTGCTATCAATTATTTTGGGAAAAAGTAGCATAAATTCGAAATTGCAATTATAGCCAACACATGAAATTGTCAACCAAACATGTTCTATGATTCCACTTTAGTCTTGCTAAACAAAAAAGGATCCAAAAACACTTCTTCGCCAATTTTGTAGTACCGTTTAATTTTCACGTTTAGTTTCAATTTACTTATATAAAATAAATAACATAAACTGTTCGTATGTTTTATAAAAAATTGTAAGTTTGGTTTATGATTTTAAAATATTTGAAGATTTTCCACTTTTGTTGCATAATGATTAATGATAGGAATATATAGAGTTACATCTTACAGAAGTGCCCTTATGCTATACAAACATATATAAATGGCACATAAGTGTATAAATCTAACACCTTCGTACTTGGAATATGAGGATCTCGAATGTTCGAACTATCTCTAAAATCTAAGAATAGTTGCATTGATAGACCTCAGGGCTGTCCCAAAACGATTTGAGGTCCGAAGCAAAATAATAAATGGGGCCTTGCACGATAGATATATAGATATAATATTTTTTTTTGGTAAATGACGGTAGCACCTCGCAAAATTTTATTAATCAGAAAAAAAAATTACAATTGCAAGCTGGGGACTCAACACATATAAAAAGGAAAAAAGCTTCGGGACAAAACAAATAAGTCAAACAACCTAAAATTATTAATACAATGCAACAAAATAAAAAGGTTATAACATGCTTTGAACCCTATTACATACACATAACAAAGAAAAATTACAAAAATTTACATTTACAAGCTTTTTTTAGAAGCAAAGTTATCATAAATAGTATCAAGGTCAATTTTGTCCAACATGTCTTTTTTGATGCATAACATAGTCAAACAATTCAATCTTTCTTGTGACATAGAAATCTCAAATAGCTTTTCAATAACTTTAATTTGAAAAATTTCTTCCCATTGATGCTATAGTAACATTCATAATTAATAATATTCGATATGCAATGAAAACATTTGGATAATAATCTTTAATTTTAACAAACTCTAGAATTTCAACAGTGGACATAAAACGTTTGACAAAGTCATTTGCAATATTTTAAGTTCAGAAACCAAATAGTTTGAATCTACATCACACAAGTTATTATGAGAAAACTGTTTTGTGAAATGAGTACAACTTTTTTTAAGTTCAATGTCTCCAATGGCTTTAACTTTTTTGAATCATATAAATCCAAAAATATTTTCAAAAACCGCTAATTGCTCAAAGATACTCTTTAATGAAACAATTGTCACATCAACAACAACCACAAAATATTCAATTCTAAATGATTCTTCAGATACCTGTAATTCTTGTGTATTATTATTTTCATCTAATTGTCTCTTTCTAGTAATTTAACGTCTTCTTGAAAATGTAGGTTCGACATCCATATCAATTGTTATGGTTTCATTATCTAAACTAAGGGCAAATCTTTCATTTCTATATTTCTCAAAAAACGACATTATACTTTTTAATTGATTTTTTTTTTTGAAACGACAAACGTTTTAACTAGAAGTCTACTTACAATATTTCAGTGAGTATCCCGCGTTCAAGCTCCTTTATAGGGCAAACTCAATCCTCATAGGGATTTCCAAGGAAAAATTCTCCACGTGTGGTATCACAAAAGGTAATTTAAAGGAATCGAACTCCCAACCTCATGCCCTACATGTGTATAAAACTCATCAACCTAGCTAGGCTGGATATCACTTGCTTTTAATTGATTAATGATGACATCAATACACATAGATTTGGTTTGAAACTTTTTACTTTCCATATTAATAACAAATAAAATGTCATACCAAATGACTATTCCAAGTAGAAATTCATAACTTTCTATGGCACTAACTAACCTTTATGCTTTACTTTTTGATTTAGCAAATATACTCCTAAAAAATTACTATTATTGTCTTGATTAAACTTCTCGTTAGACCCCCAAAAAGCCAAATTGTATTTGGATAAATAATTCACGACAACACTTAGGGACTGTTTGAAACTCGTCTGACCGGTCTGAGTCAACGATTTCAGCTGACTCGGTCAGACAGGAATCTGTTTGATGTGGGCTGATTCGGTCAGCATGTCTGGCTGAATTGGCTGAGTTGGTCAGCTTCCAAGACCCATCTGACTGGCAAAAAAGACCTCACTACCCCCGATCTATTCTTCCCTATCGTGACCTAAAAGAAAAACGGCAACGACATCTTCCAGGTTCTTGTCGGCAGCTTGCAAGATCGCCATCCCAATCACCGATCTATACTTCCCCTTACGTCCGTCCACACAGATACGTTGTTTCCCTCCTCTGTTCAAATCGAAGTTCGATTTTGACTTTATTTAGTCAAAACTCCATCTTCTTGGCCGATGATTGAGCCCCTTACTGTTGCTAATTGAATTAATGGGTCGGTCCCCTCTAAATACTAGAATGGTAATGCTTTAATTGAATTAATGTTAGGTTACAGCCCCTTATCATGAATCGTCCCTATATGTGTATATGTGCTTCAAATATTCAAATAAAAAAACCACTATGCTTGGTATGTTATGTAATATGTCAAACTTTCATTAAGAATCTTTCCCCTTTTCCCATACATAATCTGAATCCTTTTTGTTGTAATGTTATGAAAACTGAAATTGTGTATGAATAATCTCTGAAATCTGAAATTGTGTGTAATGTATGTAATAGATTATGAAATCAGATTTTTTTTCTTTGTATAAGCTATTAAATCTGATTTTTTTTGCTTGTATAAGCTATGAAATCAGATTTTTTTTTGTATGATGTTATTGTCTAATGTTATGAAATCTCAAATTGTATATGTATAAGCTATGAAATCAGAATTTTTTTCTATGTATAAGCTATGTAATTGGTAGAAAATTGTTGACTTTGATTTAGCTATTACTATTTAGGATTATGTTGATCTCATTGGTAGAAAATTGTTTTATGTTTAGATATTTATGTTAGCTTGTTATTTATGTTTTAGGATGTTGGTTTGGAACGAAAGTGAGGACAAAACTTTTCTTGATGCATGTATTCATGAATTAACCACTAATGGTCGTGAGGGTTCTGGGCTTAAGGCTAGTTCATGGAAGATAGTACGCGAAAAATTGATGAACGAACACGGTAAAGAGGTTGATCAGAAGCAAATGAGAAACCACTTTGACTACTACAAATCAAAGTATGTTGCTTGGGTGAAACTGAAAAACAAAACCGGCAATATATATGACCCTATAAAAAATAAATTTAACCTGACCGATGAACAATGGAAGGAAGAGGGGAAGGTAATATTTTTATAACAAATACTATTATAATTATTTTTATAAAAAATACTAATATTTATAAAAATTGTAAACAACTGAACAAGTTCGTGTTGTCATTGAAAACTAAACCCCTGTTGTTTCCTGGTCTTTGCACCCAACTATTTGAAGGGTCGACCTCAACCGGCTTTCTTTTACTTGTGTTTTATTGGTTGAGGTCAAACCGACGCAGGCTAATCAGAATTCATAGAATTAGAGATAACAATTCAAGCGGGTATGCGTATACGCAAGATTTGATGTATGGAGACCCTACACAATGTTTCGATATGATGCGTCTTACACAAGAGGCATTTGCTTTATTATGCAACCACTTTACCCAAAAAAATTGGTTGCAAGCTAGTAGGACAATAAACATTGAAGAGAAGATGGCTATATTCTTACATGTTATAGGACATAATGAACGTTTTCGCGCGGTTAAGGGAAGATTTCAACACTCCACACAAACGATTCATCAATGTTTTCATGAGGTCCTAACATCAATGATGTGTTTTGCAAAAGAAATTATAGTACCAACAACTCCTAATCCAACAAGACATAACTCGGAACTACATAGACGGTTAAAAAATATTTTTTCCGGAGCAATAGGTGCACTCGTTATAGAGGAAGAGGAAAAGGAGAATGTTTTCAAAATGTAATAGGAATTTGTGATTTTGATATGATATTCACCTTTGTTTGGGCTGGATGGGAGAGTATAGCACATGATTCAAGAGTTTTGAAAGAAGTTGCATTCAATTCGACTTCTGGATTTCCATTTCCTCCACCAGGTTTGTAATCTTTATATAATTTTTATTATCTATCTTCTTTATATAATATGTGTCATTATATAATATGTGTCACATTCATTTGCAGATAAATATTACCTTTGTGATGCCGCATATACAAACACTCGTGGGTTTATGGCTCCATACCGCAATACTAGGTATTGCTTAGCCGATTTTCGAAGAGGCAGACCTTTAACTAGAGAAGAAAGGTTCAATTATGCTCATGCACAACTTAGAAATGTTATTGAGCGTGCTTATGGTGTTTTGAAGGCGAGATTCCCAATCTTAAAACAAATGGCTCTTTATCCTTTTATAGTGCAAAGAGACATAGTCATTGTTTGTGTCGCGGTCCATAATTTTATAAGGAAATACAATATAGAAGATGACTTGTTTAGAAATTTTGAGGAGGACACTACGGTTACTCCTGACGTCCAAAGTGGGGGAATTGATAGAGAAAACATACAAGGCATAGAATGGGGTCCAGAAGCCGTTGAATATATGCGTGTTTTCCGTGATCAGATTGCAAATCAACTACTTTCACCTACTTTACGTTAAATTATTATGTTATTTTGAATTTCATTATGTTTTTATTTGGATATTAAATGATTTATGTTTAATTTACATTTTGTATGACATTTTTTATTTGTGTGTAATTTACATTTTGTATGACAATATGTATGTTTTTATAATTATTCAGCAACTTAATCCATCACTATATATAACAGAAGGGTAAAATAGTCATTTTTCATCACTCAGCACATTCAGTCAGATGTACAATCAAACAACAAGATTTCTTACTCAGTCAGGATTTCTTACCCAAACAGACCTTTCCCAGTCAGCACTTTCTCAGTCAACAATTATCAAACGGGGCCTTCTCTTATTCAAACTTGTCTCCAATGTTTTTTTTCTATTATATATTTTTGTTGTAAGTTCTTATCAATAGTTTCATTCTTACCCAATCTTACTCTTAAGTCGTTCCAAAATCGCAAACATAAAATATGTTGAGCACTATTTTTATATTCATAAAGTCTTTCGAAAAGGTGTTTCCAATTATTAAATATATTATTTGCCAATGAAATTTGATTTATTATTATTAATAGGTTTAAACAATTTACAACAAAAACAATAAACTTTATTTACTTGTTTAGAATAAATTAACCATTTACGATCTTAGTTGTTTCACCATTACTTCGATTTCTAGTATAAGCACTATAAAAAAAATGTCTAGATAAACAATCGTTAGGAAACACAAGATTTAAATCTCTAGTTGGTCCTGTTCAACTAAAAATTCCTATAATTTATTGTCAATATTATACCAATTACTTGGATCATAAATATTTAATCGGATTCTTGTTGTTGTCTTTTTCCTCCCAGCGCCCTAGATGTAGATCGCATCTTCTTCCTCAATTTAGACCGGCAAAAACCTGATTTTTGTAAAGACATTTGATCCCTACCCTTTTTGTACTCGACCCTTGGCTATTATGATGCATTTTCCGCTCTCGTTTGAGCCATATAATCGAGAGAAACAATGTAGAAAAAAGAAGCTATCGGTTAGGTTTTTTTATTTACTTTTTAAAGAGACTTCTAATCTTGTTTCTCCGAGTCTCTGACCACCACAGGTATGAATTGACATTCCCTAACTCATAGTTTGTCTATCCTCCTTTCCCCGCCAATGTGGAGGCCGAGTTGCCTCCGGCAGCCCCAAAACTGTCGGAAAACGCAAAGTTGCGGGATTCCCCTATTCTAAAATGTTTATGTCGAGTATGTTGAGTTATGGACCTTATTAGATACTGTTAAAGTTGCATTATAGTACCTTTAACATCTGAGATCTAGTTTTGACAACTAGAATAAAGAATATCACCTGAAAATATATTAAAATCTCCATGTGAACTCATATTTCAGGATTTTCCTAAAATGTATGATTTTGGTTCTTTTTCTGAGCTTATGGATCTGTTTTAGACCTTATTGAAGGTTGCTAGGACTAGTTATTGTCATCCTTAACTTCTTTAGTCTTGTGTTGAAGTCTTGAACCAAGAAAAAACACATTTTACTTGAGTTTTGTCCCATAGAAGCCGAAAAGCTACACTTTTTGAATGATTTTGGTTTATGAAATCTAATTTTGAACTAGGTTTTGTTGTTAATACATAAATCACATCATGTATTACAAGTTTGGTTGGGTGTGTATGTGTTTAAAAGAAGAAGTAAGTCCACAATTTAGGGTTATGTGTGTGTTTAGTGTGTGTAAACCTAAGAATATGTTTGGAATCATACATACCCTAATATTTGCACAAATGATGAATAAAATATGGAGAAAATGTGAATAAAAGGTGTGTGTACAACATAATAGTACAAGAAGGATTCTGGAAGTAAAAGTATAAATAAAGTACAATATACATATTATCAGGAAATAATCTAAGTAGAGTTATTGGTATGGGATGTAGGTGTTCGGAGAGGGAGAAGTTCATCTAGCTCACATCAATAGTGTTGTTAAAATTTTGCTTGTTGTATTCGGGTGAGTCTTCTTACTATACTCTAGGACACTAGGTGTCATTGTATACTCGTTTTCTTTGTGACTCTTGCATGAAAGTTTATATTTTGTTAGGCGAGGCCCATTTATATATATTGTTAGGCAAGACCCGCTTATATGTTTGTTGGGCGAGGGTTGTTTACATGTTTGTTGGTCGAGGCTCGTTATGGTATCTGATATATTGGGAAACTCGCTAAGCTTTGTTCTTACAGTTTTAAGTTTAAATGTTTTAGGTACTTCTGGCAGTAAAGGGAAGGGCGTGACTTGATTGTATCGCATCCATTGGAGATTCCACATTTTATGATTTTGTGTTTATTACTCTGATATCTGGTTTTGGGATTTGAACTTATATGTTAACTATCTTTTATTAGGTTTGAAACTTGAGATGGTTTTTATTATGTTTTAAAAAGATAAATTTGCCTTTGAAAATTTGGATGTTTCATTTACTCTATAGTCTGAAACTTATTTTTGAGTCTTTTACTTTAAATTAGAGAATTCCACATGAAGCCATACATAACTTTAACTTCTCTAAATTCACTACCTTGGTGAGCATATCTTCATGGATTCTTTGCACCAAGGATTTTCATTATTTTGAGCATACCTTCGCAAATCACTTATCTGATAAAATGGTTTCTCATTTGGATATGCGTCATTTGTGAATGGAATACCATATTCTTTGCGAGATTAATGTCCGGGTACCAAACTTCGTAACCATGTGTTCCTCAGTGAAAAGCGGCTACGAATGACCAGTAACATATTATATTGACGGCTACGGTTGGTAACTCGACGACTAAGATTTAACTGGTTAGAACCATGTTTAAGGGTTGTTTGCTACTTGTTGATTGAGTAAATGTCTGACTGACTGAGCCATATCCAACTTTTTACCAGACCCAATCAGAAGCATATTAGAGGTTATAAGGCCAAATTAGATGCTTCTAATTATGATATCAAATGATTTGAAGCTTACAAGTCAAGAGACTACTTTGAAGCTTACGAGACACTGCTTTGAAACTTACAAGTTATACGTTTCTTCTTAGCACACCAATTAAAAAATATATCAAAGAAAACCCTATGTACTATACATAATTAGGGGTGTTTGGGAGAGCTTATTTGAAATGATAAGTGATTTTTAACTTATTAGCTTATTAGCTTATAGTGATATCAAAACAGAGTTTTAGAAAGAATGTTTGGATTAGCTTATACGATGTTAAAACGTTGTAAGTTGATAAACACTTTTTATTGTTTAACAAAATGACCAGAAAAGGCTTTGATACGATTATAATTCATAAAGAGTTTTGATAAGTAAGTTATCAAAAATGATTTGATTCATAAATCATAATGCTATAAACTATTTTTAAAAAGTTTTAAAACACTTATTTTAATTTATACCTATTTAAAATAGATAATAAATTCTTAGCCAAACTTACGGGTGCTCCCATTTTGGAGATTTTTGAAGATTTGTGGAGTGTGATCCTCACGTGACGAAAGCGGCTACCTCCTAGGGGTTCTTTTTACTGTACATAATCATTCCTCAATTACTGCTTCTTTAGTCCTCCTCGCTTGCCTGCCCAAGGCACAACCACAACAATGGTGGAAATTGAAGATGCCGATGACACGCCGAAGACCGCAACCGCCACCATCACGGAAGAAGAATCACGTCCGCTGTTAAATAGTTCAGAGTCAAAGCCGCGTTCTAAATCGGTAAGGACTAAGGTCCCTGAGGTGGAGGTACATCTTTTCCGGCGCGGAGAGGGTCCGATCGATGTCTTTAAATCGAGTTTAGGTGGATGGGATCAAGATCAGCTCGAAGTTGGAGATATATTAGACAAGTATGGATTTAAATCGGTGTATGCGTATAATACACAATCCGGTAGGGGTGTTCCGATCCGGTTTAACGCTAGAAACGGTCGATCTATGCTACCGTACAAGGATGGATCCGTAATTTTCATTGACGGAGAGCCCAAGGTACTCGATACTTCTTTTCCCCTCTGTTTTACCCTCAGTTATCGATGTTCACTGTATCACTAAGTTCTAATACATCTTGCTGCTGAATTTTCTAATTTATGCTTCTTCCAAACGTATAATTTCGGAATTGTGAGACGAAATACTGTTGTTATCAAACCCAATTTTGGTACTATATTCCAACAAAATCTTAAATTTGACCTTAAAACTGATTCTACGACCTTAGAATATCATAACATCATTGGCTTCAAAACAGGTGATAGGGATAGATGTTTGCCTGTAGACTTTAGTGTGATTTAGAAGAAAATTAGGGCATCACAAGAAGGTAAATTAGAGGCATGAAGGGGGTTTTGATCCTATACTTGTTAATTATTTGTTCTTGGTATCAATTTGATTCTAAACGCCATTTTATAACACTTGGTGAAGTAATGGTGTTATTATTTATCATCGTGTGTAGATTACTTATTTTGTAGATTATAATGACTATGATTTACTTATTTCAGGACTCGTTAATAAAGCCAATCACCAGGATCCTAGTAGGGGTTGCAATATTAACTGCAATGATAATTTTGGTGATGAAGGAGACACCTGAATGGGTTAAAAAGTTGAAGTTTGCAGGAATCAACTTCAACTTCAACTTCCCTCCATGGGTTCTCGCATGTGTTGTGATTGTTTTCACACGTTTGAGGAAAAGAACCAGAAATTTCTTCACAAAACGCGCTTAACATTTTCTGCTTTCTTCATTCAAATCACACATTTCATAAGATACTTCTCTCATAAATTTTGTGGTTTTGCTGCTCTGCTTTAAAGAATCCATGTTTTGATCATGATTTTTGTACCAATATTTTTTTGGATGCTATTATGTTTTATCTATAAATGTCTCTGATCGTATTATACCTTTCTCTACTTTCTACTAATTTCTTAACATTTGCTCGACTCTTAACTTCTAAGAAAACATTTGAAAGCCATTGTTGTATTAAAATGATCAAAGAAAATCTTTACATGAAAAAGATATAATGTAGAAAAGGATTATGTGATCAAAGAAAAATTTGAATGGATTTGATCGGATTATTAATATATAGCTTTTCTTGTGTTCTGTTGACTTTGATCCCTTGCGTTTTTGAACAACTTTAGACAAGTGTTTTTTCTTATTACTAAAAAAGGCTTGCATAGAATCATAATAATGTTTCTTGACAAAATTGCAAGAATGGTCCCTGTGGTTAGGTCGAAATTGCCACTTTGGGCCAAACAGGTTTGGACTAGCACTTATGGTCCAAAGATTTTCATTTTCTTGCCACTTTGGTCCAATTTATTTTAAACTTTTTTTAATGACGATTTTGCCCTTGGTTTTGTTTTTTCAGTTATTTATTTATTTATTTATATAGTTTAATATTTAAAAGAAAAACAAAAAAAGAAAATACCTCTCTCTCTCTATCTCTCTCTCCTACCTATATTCCTCACATCTTTTTGCTAGAATCCTCCAAAACCACCGGTCATCGCCGCCACACCCATGACCACCGATCAACTCCACCACCACCATTGATCAACGTCGACAACAACACCTGTGAGCACCTCCACTAACACCCTAGATCATATGAAAGTCGGATCAAGCTACAGATCTAGACTGAGAAGGCTACAACCACCACTACCAGTCAAAATGTATCAAAAGTGTTTGTTGATCTGAAAACAAAAGAAGGGTGGCGGCGACGATATAACGAATGAACTACGAAGAACATATATCTCCAGCGATGACGGGCGACGATACGACCGTTGGAGCTTCTCCAAACGAAGCTAGGTTTTTAATGAAAGGGGTCAGACGGAGCTAGGGTTTGCAAACCCTAAACTGGTGAAGGTGAGAGCAAGGCAGCGACGACGTAGTAGTTGTCTGCGGTGGCTTCCTACGCTCGAGGTGGAGATCTGGTAAGATAGGGTGTTCAACGGATCTTCACCTTCAAACAACCACGGATCCGACAATGTTGCAGATCTGGTAGGACGACGCTGATCTACACTATTACAACGAACACAACGACGTTGAAAACCCTTGGGGGGTTTTGATGCCTTTCCAATCTTCGTCTTTGAAGCCCTTCCCTGCCGCTGCAAACCCTAGCAACTCGACGAAGACGATGGTTGAGCCGCTGCAAACTCTGAAGTTAGGGTTTATTGGCGGCTTGGGTTTTCATTTCTTGGTGGCTAAGTCGATTTGTCGGAGCTGGGATAGTCAATTTGTCGGAGCCGAGAACAACGGAACAGTGGGTGAAGGGATGGGTGTTTGGTGGTGCTACACGACCGGAGGGAGGCGGGGAGGGGCTGTGAAGGTGGTGGTCGGCAGCCTCCTTTCTTCGTCGGAGGAAGAGATGGTGAGAAATGATCGGGTCAACTGTTTTTTTGTTAAGAGAGAGAGAGAGAGGTATTTTTTTTGTTTTTCTTTTAAATATTAAACTATATAAATAAATAAATAAAAATGAAAAAGCAAAAACCAAGGGCAAAATCGTCATTACAAAAAAGTTTAAAGTAAATTGGACCAAAGTGGCAAGAAAATGAAAACATTTGGACCATTAGTGCTAGTCCAAACCTGTTTGGCCCAAAGTGGCAATTTCGACCTAACTACAGAGACCATTCTTGCAATTTTGTCATGTTTCTTTCAAGGTTTCTACCAATTCCACAAACAAATGATAAGCTATTTGAATAGAATATTGTAATTAACTATTTGCACCTTGAGATGCAAGAGCAAAAATTCTATTTAGTTTAAAAAAAAGGGGAAGACGTTATAAAAGTTCTTATAATCAATTTAGTTTTTATATGTTTTTTTTTCAATGAAGTGTCAAAAACCGAAAATTGTATTAAGGGACTGTTTGACAGGATCTGAATTTTTAAGAGGGTCTGAATTTTTAAGATCTAAATTTTAAGATGTTGTTTGGTTGGAGCATCTGAATTATTGTGCTGAATGGTAAAAATGACCATTTTACCCTTATTTACTATTTTTGTTGAATTCAACATTTTTGTTTTATAAAATAACTGAATCCACATAATAGCAACCAACTTTACCAAGGATTCTCAATAATAGCAACCAACATTTTCTTGCACAAAAAAGAAACACCAAGATTGCTCCATATGTTACAACAACTTTATCCGCAAACATAAGAAGTTAAACAGGAAATAATGAAAATAAACAAAGATTACATTTGCATTTGGACTTTTCAAATAAAACATTCAATCCTAACAATTGCATTTGCTTGTCAAATAAAAATAATCAATCTCAACAATTGCATTTCCATTTGCATTTGTGTTTCAAAGGGTACCCTTCTGCAACTCCCTTCTCTAATCTCCATAAAAGGTGGTTTTCTTCTTCCGTTTATGTATTAGCCTCCACCATAGGTGCTGTAATTGCAATTTTGTAAAGGTAGAGCAATCGGGGATTTTTGTGCCATTACCAGCCGTTGTTGTTTCTATGTGAAGATGAGCTTCAATAGAAGAAGATTCAGGACCTTTCACTTACAATGAGTGGACCAATGAAACAAGGTCCTAAGTTACCCTGCTTCCTAAATTAGGATTCATGCTAGACTTATATATGTTTGTGATAATTGTTGAAAAATATGTTGTTTGCATCTTGTGTATGGTTGTGCCTTGGTATCAGTTGATATGGTGATATTCATGCTATATGATAATTGTAAATTGCATGTGGATATGATGTTTCATGAATTGGTAGTTATATGCTAAAGTATGGTGACATCTTAATGAACTTCATTACATGATAATTGCTCGTCTAAGCTATATGAGCAACATGATTATTTTGGTGTATGCATGCTTTTGCGGGGTGTAATGGTGACATGGGTAGAACCTTGCAAGTCTAATAGGTTGAAAGAGCTTAAGCCTTATCGGTTGTTAGTTGCACGAACTTTCTAGATGGTTGTGTGACACGTGGTTCGTGTGCACCTCGGTGTACGGGAACTGGAGTGGTGTTGGCTTTATGGTATGGTCGGATCAAACATCACGTGGGAATCAAAAGGTGTATCAGTAGAATTGACACTGTTTGTACCAATCCTGAACGATACCGTAAAGTACTTGTACTTTGCAGGTCGGAGTAGCGAAAGTGGAAGTCTTGGGGTTGGTGTATTCGGGTGGAAGTCATGAGCCACTTAGAGCACTAAACTGGCTGAGCACACGAATAGTAAACGAGATTAAGTTGTTGGGTAGACCGTCCCTAAGGAACCCCAAAGTAGTTAATCGGTTGAATTAAAAATTACGTATAATAAACGGTGAATTAAATTATATGTAATAATCGGTTGAGTTAAGTTGAAAACTATATGATTAAAATAAATTATGTTATAATATTACTTGTTTTTCTTGACTATCCATTTTTTCTGACCGTGACAGCCGCTTTGCTTCGCAGTTTTGGAATAAACTCCAAGAGGGATTGGACACGAGAGTTCATTTGAGCACGGCCTATCATCCGCATACGGATGGCCAAAGAGAGAGAACCATCCAAACGCTTGAAGATATGTTGCGGGCATGTGCGATTGGGTATGGTGGTTGTTTGGATAAATACTTACCTTTGGTGGAGTTTACCTACAACAACACTTACCATGCTAGCATTAACATGGCACCCTATGAGTTGGCTTGAGCCCGGGGAGAAACAATTCGCGAGCTCGGAGATCGTTCAAATTACAAAGGATAAGGTGAAAATAGCTAGAGATCGCTTGGCAGTGGCTTGAGAAAGACAAAAGAAGTATTCAGACAAGAAGCATCGACCGAAGACCTTCGAGGTGCGAGAAAAGGTGATGTTGAAAGTCTCACCTTGGAAGGTTATCATTTGATTTGGGAAGCGGGGTAAGTTAGGACCTCGTTTCATTGGTCCACTCATTGTGTTGGAGAGGATCGGAGATCAGGCTTACAGGTTGAAGCTACCACCGGAACCGGAGGGAATAAATGATGTGTTCCAGGTTTGTTATCTCCGAAAATGCTTAGTGGAAGAGCCGAGTGTCTTATCGTTGGACGAGCTGGGGCACAAGTCGATGTGTTCGACGGGGACGTCGAACTCTATAATGAGGGGTGAAGGTGGGTTGCACCTGATCCCACATCGGCTTGGAAGGAGAACTAAGCACTCCTTATAAGGGGTATGAATACCTTCCTTGTCACAACGCGTTTTAAAGCCGTGAGGGCAGCATATCCCATAAGAACTCTGCAGTTAAGTGTGCCCAGGCGAGAGCAATTCAGGGATGGGTGACCCCCTGGGAAGTTTTTGTGGCGGGAGCCCAAAGCGGACAATATTGTGATACGTGCCAGAGGGGGATGTTACAAATGGTATCAGAGATAGGACACGGGTCGATGTGTTCGACAGGGACGTCGAACCCTATAATGGGGGGTGAAGGTGGGCTGCACCTGATCCCACATCGGCTTGGATGGAGAACGAAACATTTCCTTATAAGGGGTGGGGATCCCTTCCTTTTCACAACACGTTTTAAAGTCGCGAGGGTAGCAGATCCCATAAGAACTCTGCAGTTAAGCGTGCCCGGGCGAGAGCAATTCAGGGTGGGTGACCCCCTGGGAAGTTTTCACGCTGGGAGCCCAAAGTGAACAATATTATGATACGTGCTAGAGGGGGATGTTATAGAGTGGGAGGGAGAAGGGGCGTGTGCTAGAGGGGGATGTTACAGAGTGGGAGGGAGAAGGGGCGTGTGACAGTGCTCTAACTCTTAATTTTCCAATTAAGAGGCTACCAAATAAGGCCTAAGTTTGACCCTTTTACCAGGTCAACAGGACGTCTTACCTTCAAGAATTATATCTTTGGTTCAGGTATTATGTTTTATTACAAATTT